AATAATAATACACATATTGTACAAAATAAACGTTCACGGTTGACGGTGTTTTTATTTTATTTATTTCAATCGAATTTTTTTCGTTTAACCGCTTTTAGTGCTGTCAGCGCGAATTATTAATAATTTAAACCCAATTCAAATGGATACACACTTTGGATAAAATATTCGGATTACCTTTATGGATGTATCGTTTTACCCTGGAACATATCATGTAAGTCTAAAACAGCCATTTTTGTAAATAATATTAACTAAGACAATCATCATCTCCTTGCGGCTAGCAAGTGCGACTTGGAAATGTTTAAACTCTTACTATTTTCTACGGTTTGCTCCTTAAGACAAATAGAAAGAGACAAACACACTCAACAATCTAATAACTTAAAAACTATTCTCTCAAGTTTTCATAGAATTTTCTAAGGACCATCTTTCAAAATCCGGCTTTTCTTTCCTTTTTTTTTATTAAGATTTCAACTAAAGATCATAACATCTTGGCAAACATAATAAAACAGATAGGTATACACGGTTATTTCTCCTTACCTCGTTAAGCCATTATTTTCTTGGCGGAAAAACAAATAAATAAATAAAATTTGAAACACAATTTCCAACAAGAATTTTCTGCCAACTCTCAAATAAATAATAATAAAAAAAAATTGTTGGCGAAAAACTCTACTTATTTTTTTTGTGAAAACTTGAAGTTGACTTGAATTGAGTATAAATTACAAAGTTATAAATTAAATTTCAATAACAGTACAATCAAAGTATAAGACAAGTGAGGTACAAAGAATTGGAGACCTACTATGTATATCTTTAATATATTACACACTTACTTAAACACACTTAAAGCATGTGAAAACTTGTTTAATGTTAAATTATTTCAATAAAAATCACTAGTTTGTCGATAGAGAAAAATGGTCGATTATAATTTTGGAATATTCTAAATTTTCGCATATCAGTTTCTAAGTACACATTTTTTTTGCGTTTGGGCTATGAAAAAAAAAAATTATAAAAGCGTTTTTTTTTTTTGAAGGACAACGATTTAAATTTTCAAATTGACCATAAGTGCTGTTAAATACATTTTAAGTACCCGTCTGTGTGTATATATGGTATCAATTACCTTGTTATTGTTTTACATGTTCTTCTTTGAACGCCGATGACTTGATGTAAAATAATAATAACAATACCCACGTCTAATAATAATTAAGTAGAGTTATTCGACACTAAATACTTTTTATACGATAAAAATGAAACGTATTATATCCACCCGACGATAGTATTAAAATAAATTACATATATATATATATATATATATATATATATACATATTATTATAAAACGTGTGCGGTTTTAATTGCGCCATTAAGCGAACATGATTAGTGCAAATGCCGATGTGTGATCATGAGGTGATCTTGAAAATTGTAAAAAAAATAAATAATAATAAAAAAAAAATAGGAAGTAAATACGACAAACGTTTGCAGAGTCATTGAAAACGTAATAATAATTGACTCGTGTGATCTTCGGTGATCGTATAGTAATAATATTGTGGGGAAAAAAACACCGCCATATTATACCGGAACTTTGCTGATTTAATGCAACAGGAAGTTCGGTCGACTATAACTTACCGCGCGACAAGGTTGACATCCCAGCCTAAAGGGTTGTATCCATCCGACCGGATGTAAACGTGACTTATTACTTGCTTTATTGGGGTTTCACAAAATGTTTATTCCCGTTTTTTTCAAATTATTCACTTTATACCGTTTAAAAATACACACTTAACGCACCAAACTGACTTTTGTTAAACGTTATCTTTTGTTAAATTGTTATTGTTTATATTCAGGTTATTACCAGTGTACTGGTTACCGGATAAACGGTATATAAATAAGCAGTTAATTAATATTATTATCATACGGGGTGTTATCGATGATAAACAGCTGATAACGCGCATTTCCATTATCACCGTTTTAACGCAAAACATTGATAACAAAATTTAACTATACGTACATTTTTACATATTTTATACTTATAAATTTTGTTATTCGTTTCGTATAATTAAAATTGAGTTTATTTAGTGGGAAATATGTCGTCATGGTTTCGACTTCGGTACAGACAATATTGTTTAAGTTGTTACAAAAAAAAAAAAACAATTGCAGTTATAATGATTTTATTTAAGTATAAGAAATTATGGATAAAGATATCCAAATCGGAGTTGGAAAATGTGAAATACTTACACGAGGAAACTGAAAAAACCAAACTCGGCCTACCGTTTGACCGTGACCCGAATAGTGTATTATACAATATAGTGAGTAGTATATAATTCCTGTAAAACAAGTTATTGTTTATACATAATACTATTTTATCAACATTAGGCTCCGCACAGGCCGATCACCGTGTTTTTTTCTCCATAGAGAACCCAATAACGTTTAATTAAAATACAATATATAACTACCACGAATTGGCAAGTATCATGTTTAAGTTGACTGTAATGTACATTTCGTTTTTAACGCATAAATTTAATATTATTGTTGCAGTTTTGAAAACAATTGGCTAATTTTTTTTTTTATTATTCAACGAAAAACCCAATAACTTAAGCCGTTCAGCCGAATCAGCTTGGTTTAGTTTTATTCGTTTGGTCTACATTTTTTATTCACAAAATGCGCAATAAGCATTAGGTATACAATAATGGTTCTAGAACATTTATACATTATCATTACACTAAGTAAACACGTTTCTCCAAAACCAAAATAACTGTGGTAATTTTAGAGTTGACCCTTTAAGCAAATTTGCAAGATTATTTGAAGATTGATTAAACAAAAAAACAAAAAAAAACATCAAAATATCATTTATAATATAATATTTAAAATTAATTATATAAACTAAGAATGTTAATTTTCGTCTTAATACGTTTCAACTTTAAACATTTGTAGTAACTATTTGATTTTTTTATTTGATTACAAAATTCAATGTCGCGTTAAAAAAAAAAAGAAAGAAATAATCGTTTTTTAATCGTTTCAAAGTATTTGGCAAATATTATTGTTTTCCAATCGTCGAGTGACATTATTGTTGGTACAACTTATTTACAGAATATATTATGTGTATATATTTTAATATATATAGTTTGACTTGAGAAGGTATACCAGACTTAATAATATTGTTATCAGAGAGGCCACATATGACAATATTATTATATTTCATAAGGTAAAAACGCACACAAAGGTCAATGTTCAGCCGACAATCTCTGTCGAGTGTATTTTCATGTGTATATATATATATTTTTTTTTTATGTTTACAAATGATAAAGCAACGTTATCGGCAGACGGAATATTGTTTTTTAGATTTCGAATTCAGGGCTACAACCTGTACGAGCCGTGAGATAATTATTTACAGAAATAATAATAATAATAATATAACAGTGGAAAAACTCAATATTTCTCTGTATTAACCGTTAGAATATTATCGTTATTAAAAATTCGTATACCGTTCTCTTCGATGATATATTTTAAATACTACACTATGCCTTGAACTCGTTTAAATACTTCCACTTAAAAACCGTCGACGGAAAGGTCATTTTTATATTTTAAAAAAAAACATTAACCCTAAGGACATGTTTGTGTTTTGGTAGAGGATAGGGTCTAGGTCGCTCTGAATGCGAGCAAAACCGTCGCATGTCGCATCTTCTTAGTGAAACCAATGGAAATGGCTAAGATTTCTCTTACTTATTTCCCACAATTAATACACATATGTGTACAAAGTTTGATTCGATCGAACGAGCCCAATGCGGAGTTGCTAAATAGAAAACGAAAATCCGGTCAATGGCTATTACTTAACAAAACGCATACATACAGCTTCTGTTAGCTGGCCAATAAAAATTGAATAATATTATGTAAATGCGATTCATCCGACGCTATTAATAAACATAAACGGGCGGAGACAAAATTAACATAATATAAAAAAAAAACTGCAAATTACTTAACTGCGCGATAGGCCGTAGAATAATATTATGTATCATTAGGAGGGCACCACCGCTGAACAAATGCTTGTTGATCTAGTGGTAGTAATTACAATTTTTACTATGAAACAAATAAATCATTAAAAATCAAATACTATTTTTATGAGTAACATTATGGAGGACTTTTATCCACCTTAAGATTTAGCAGAACTCTGAATCGCTTATGTAGTAAGCAAAAAGGTGAGCTGCAGTGTGACCAGAATACCGAAAATACATTTCCTCGTTTCAGTTACGGTGTTATCATATGCAATTTTAATTTATCGATTAATAAGAATTACACGGTGCAGCGTTTAACAAACTTACTTGTAAAAAAGTATTTATTTTCGTTTAAAGTGGTCACACTGTCGCTCGCCTTCTTGATTACTTCGTCATGGCGTCACCAGACTTACTCTTTGCTCTAAACCCAATTTTGTTGACTTCTTCTGGACTGTGCTTGGTGGTTTGATCGTCACTGGGAACTTTACTTGGCTTACATAGCTGTGGTGAAATTTGGATAGCCCTGTAGGTAACAATTATTTTTTCTTTCAAATCTGTGTTTATCTGTGTTTATCACCGCGTTATCGGTGGTCTTTGGACACGTGCTCGATAACCACCGTGTCGGCCGCGGTTGCAGCCGAAGGGAACTGGGCAGTCACTCGGTTCCCAGGGGGACACCTGTTCGGTGAACTCGTGAATCCCTGTGATTCGACAACAACATGCTATTATAATATACCGTCGTCACACTTTTCGCCACGGGTCAATCGGGTCGTGAACGATTGAACGTTAAAAAAAAAATAACAACAATAATAATACCGAGAAAAAGTATTTAAAAATTGTCGCGCCGTCAGCAAAACCGAACATCGACTATTCGAATCGACCTAATTGCTGCGGAGAATTGTTTTTTGTTCAAATTGTGCATTTGCAGCGATAGCTCAGCAGGTGCATTGGCGGCGGCTTGCATGAGTAACGTTTACCTCGTTTGGTATTTAATTTTTTGGATTTTCGCTTTTTTTTTTTCCAGTATTGGACTTACTCAGAGCGGTTGCCCGAGCGCACCGCGAATGGGATCCGAGTGTATCGTCCGAATCTCAATCAGCTGAAAGTAGTCGTCGTCGTCGAAGATCCAGCCCGCAGTCTTTTGGTAAGCAACCATGGGCTTGTCTCCGATCAAATTGCCGTACCAGTCGTCGAAAAACCGATTGTTCGGCGTGCCTCCCCCCCGGCGCATGTCAGCCAGCTTTCAGCCCATACCCACGTTCAACGTCAACGACCCCTTTGGCAACCATGAACACCAACGGGCTCCCAACCGGCGAACGGGGAGCACCAGGACCAGGACCGGCGTGCCCATCAACATGCTCGTGTCGCACCAGAGGGGAATCAGTAACAGTGAGTAACGATTGTTGTCTTTCGGTTAAAAACACCAAGTCCTCACACTAGTCAGGTCGCCCCCAAAAAACCTAAAAGCGTTTTAGAAACAGCTGGTCAGGTCATCAGAGATCAGAGGATTAGCGCATTCCTCTCATCTCTGAACCCTCATCAATAACAGCGACCCCCAAAAACTATTTTAAAACGCGACGGTGTTTAGTAGCAAAAAAAAAAATACAAATTAGTTAATTAACTCTTCACTCTGTCAATCTGACCTTTGTGAATACATCTATTATGTTTATTGTACAGCATTGTCACAGATTGCATAAATACAAAAAAAAACACACCCCACGTATTTTTAATAACTTTAGTTCTGCCTTCGATGTAATTTTCTGATCTTAAACCATATAAAACTTCCCCCAAAAAAGCGAAATTAAAAAAAAATGTCCACTCCTTATAGGAGAGAAAGTATAATATGATTTTTATTGATTGTTAATATGCACAATGTTATATGTTTATTGTACTTCCAATTGAAAAAAAATATTAAAACCCATAGCGGTCAGTGATAAAAAACATAATTTATACCACCGTAACCATAAAAAATAATTCATTTATAACCTGTAACAAACATAAACAACTAGTAAAGTTTTGGTGACAAAAAAAAAATACAGACTGAACAACGGTTAAGACAAACATCACTGTGTAGGGTTGACAAATCACAGTGGCCATGTCACATAGATGACCGCCAGATGATTCCTTATAAACTTTTGTTGAGCCTTCATTTTATAGTTATTCGGTAAAAAGTAATTACACTAGTTGGAACAATATGAGACACTATGTAAACCCTTTAGAAGACCTTCAAATCAAATGTGGTTTTAGAGTAAAAAAAAAACCCACTAATAATCGGAAGTGAACGGTACGTCCAAACACAATTTGATACTCGATGAAATGAAATGTATTTTTAATAAAAACCTATCGATGAACTAAACACAATTTTAACGATCGTACGCCCTCGAAAATTTTGTCATCTTTCAATTATTTCGGTACAAATTAATAGATTCCATTTATAAAACCACTTAGGAGACTTGAAAAAAAAAATGTTTATTCGAGGCTATTTTTTGTCATTGAAGGTAGTCAGACGGCGGGACTTAATAAATTACCTATTGTTCGTCCCGAACAAATATTTGTATACTTTGTTGTTTATCGAATTAAGTTTTAAACGTAGGCTAAGATAGTGATGGCTGAAAAAATTAGCGAATTTACATAGAAAACAATAAAACCAAACCATTTGCCAATATTTTTGTGTATGCGTTGAATTTTGCCAAGATTATAATATAATAACATTATGTAATATCCCTATTTACAAGCAAATCAAGTTGGCCACACTGTTTTGTTTAAATTTTCGCGGGAAATCGACTAGCAGCGAGTACAGCTGATAAAGTCAATAGATAACGTTGCAATCGAATAATTGATAACATGATTCAGGTTAGCTCCAAGGTGGTCCCATATTGATTTCTTTGGTATTAGACCAAAACATACACCAGAGAATTGCCCAAAATCAAATCACAACACTTTTGTAAACAGCATACATTTTTAGAATTGTTTTGTTGTGTGTGAATTGTAGTTTCCTTGCTAATTAGGTTAGGTTAGGACCATACTAGGTCTAACCATCACTTAAATCTGTAAAATTAAAAATTAAAAGTTAAAATTACAAAAGTGACATAAGTAAGATTAGTTTAGGTTAGGTTAGGACCTTACCTGGTCTACTCATCACTTAAAACTGTAAAATTAAAAATTTTAAAAAAAGAACAACAAAAGTGGCATAAGTTAACTAAAAATCAAAAAATATATGTCTTATACATCAATTTTACAATACTTATTTATTGTTCATTTTTATTTAATTAAGAAATGAATCGTATGTTTTACTTGGTATACCGACTTCTTCAAAATTATAAAACAATTAATAATTATAAAATGAACTATAATTTTGTAATTACATTAAACGGAACAACAAATAAGCATCAAATTGTTGTATAAAAGTATTTATTTTTGGTCTATTAGTTAACTAATGTTACTTTTGTGTGTTTTTTTTAAAAAAATTTTAATATTACAGTTTAAAGTGATGACTAGACCTAGTAAGGTCCTTACCTAACCTAACCTAACTAATAAGGAAACTAAAATTCACACACAATAAAACAATTAAAACAATTTATGTTGTTCACAAAAGAGTTGTGATTAGATTTTGGACAGTTTTCTGGTATATCTTTTGGCCCAGTACCAACGAAATCAATATGGAACCACCTTGGAGCTAACCTGAATCATGTTATCAATTATTCGAATGCAGTGTTATCTATTGACTTTATCAGCTGTGCTCGCTAGTCGATTCCCCGCGCAAATTTAAACAAAACAGTGTGGCCAACTTGATTTGCTTGTAAATAGAGATATTACATACTATTATAATATTATCATTTTTGGCGAAATTCAACGCATACACACAAATATTGGCAAATGGTTTGGTTTTATTGTTTTCTATGTAAATTCGCTAATTTTATCAGCCATCACTATCTTAGCGTACGTTTAAAACATAAATTTGATAAACAACACAGTACACACATATTTGTTCGGGACGAACAATTAGGTAATTTATTAAGTCCTCCGGCTGACTACCTTCAATAACATCCGAGTCACCGAATTCACGGTGTAGTTTAGTAACGGTCAGATGAAAAAAAAATAAATGAGATTAAGAAAGGAAACTCTGTTACTTCAATATCAACAGTCACCGCGAATCACTCGAATTATTACGGCGCACCAGACCGTAGACTATTTTTTAGGCGTACATAAAGGAAACATTTCTCAACACAATTCGGTTTACGTCATAATATGCCAATTATTTATAATATTCTTTTGGTAGTGTAAAACATTACCTGAACTTGAAAAGAAATCCAGCGCAGCGGTCAGACGAAAACAGTATATAACTACAGACAGGCCAAGGAACTGTCTCAGATCATCTTCTTGATGAATAATACCATAACTGATAAAACCGCTTTATATGAGGAAAAAACACTTTATCCGCTTAGCTAAATAAAAAATACACAAGTTCAATTTTTTTTTAAGTGAAATATACAATAAAAGATGTATTAAAAAAAATTAAAAAACATTACCAAAACAAATAAGACTTTTCCTTTTGTTTTACATAAATTAAAATTCTTTAATATTTACCATCGTTATGCCACGTGCAACGCATATAAAACATATTTTTATAAGCAAAAAAAAGTGTTATTCAAATGTTAATAGAATAACATTTTAGTGGTATTTTTGAAATATGAATTGTATTTTTTTGCTTCAAAAATAAGTCACAAAATGTTGATTGTAAATGCATATTTTGTTGGGAAAAATGTCCTTTTTATTATTTAAAAAAAAAAGGTATAACGTCGATAAATTTGGTTTTACTGTGAATTTGTTTAAATGGAATCGTTAGACTTTTAATCTATACAAATATTGTGTATCAGTAAATACTGATTGAAATCTTTAAAAAAAAATGTCAACAAAAGATTTCCTACCGAGTTTAGTAAGGTTAGATTAGGTTAGGTTAGGTTAGGTTAGGTTAAGTTAGGTTAGGTTAGGTAAGCATTCAACACATTCATAGGACCTTACTAGGTTTACTTGTCAATTAAACTGTAAAGTTAAAAATTAAAAAAAAAAGAACAACAAAAGTGACATAAGTTAACTAAAAATCGAAAAATACATGTCTTATACAACAAATGTATAATACTTATTTATTGTTAAGTTTTATTTAATTAAGAAATTATTGTTTATTATGTAATTTTTAATTGTTTTATAACTTTGAACTATAAAATTAAAAATTAAAAAAAAAACAATAGTGACATAAGTTAGGTTAGGTTAGATTAGGTTATGACCTTACTAGGTCTACCCATCACTTAAATCTGTAAAATTAAAAATTAAAAAAAAAACAACAACAAAAGTGACAAGTATTATATCACCTACCGAGTTTGGTGAGGTTAGGTTAGGTAAATTGCAGCAAAAAAAAAATCCATTAATGTTTCCAAAAATATTGTCAAAAAATTTGGTAACAATCTTCAAATCTTTTTAAATCATGTTTTGACAGTCAATTAAAAATGTGTTTCGTAAATTTTATTTACATAACGTGTACTAAACATAATTATGTATAATAAATGTAATATAATAAATGTATTGTATAATACATTTTTAAAAAATGTCGTTTAAGTATATTATTAAAACGTTTTACATTTATTTTATTTTAAATAATATGATAATATTTCCACTGCTTTATTATTATAATTTTTTTTTTTTATTATTATAATAAATAAGGGCCTCGACTTCTGGGGTCATTAGTCATAAATTTTACATTAATTCTATATAAATGATTAAAATATAAGAGCTACAGTTTTATACATAGAAAATAGTGATCCACTTGTCTTTCCACTACTTTAATAATAATATTTAAACGACATGTTCAATACATTTCGCGTGATTAAAAATAAAAAAATATTTTTATCTTCAGCCAAAACTTGATTTTTAGACAAACTCGTTTTAAGCAATATAGTTTTTTTTTTTTAAGCTGTTCTAAGCTATTAACAGTCTGTTATGTGAACATCAGACAATTCAGTAGAACGCATTAGGTTAGACATCTTTTTTCATTTGTAATTTTCGTACAAAATTTTCGAATAAAAAGGTTTGTTGGAATTTCCAACTAGTCACGTTTTTTTTTTCAACAAGAATTTTAAGTTTAGTAGGTCAACAGGAAACGAAATCGAGAGTGGCTTTTATGTTTTTTTATTCAAGAATGAGCTTACCCGACGGTTTGTCGAACCCGGTTTGTCCACTCGGTTACATATTATATTATTATAGAGCTGTGTGTTATTGAAATGATAATATTATATTTTTAACACAGATAGGTAGTATATTATTATTACATTGGAGGAAGTTTTTTTTTTTTTTTTTAATACCTCATTGCACGCTGTTACGTGCGTGTACCTACC